CCCAGACTCAGTGATCGCGATGGAAAATATTTCTTTTATATTCATTAAATCGCTGCGAACGCCTTGGTTTTACGAATAAGTAATGAACTATTGATTATTCCTGGCAGAACATACTATTCCTTCAAATGAACAATACTCAGAATGAAACAAAGACACGTAATCTGATTTAAAATGTGACGCTCTTAGTTGGTGAGTTAGAATTACTTGATAGGAATAGATCGTTTAAATGTGTTCACACATTTTTAAAGAATGAGGTGACCTGGAATGGATCCCTACTTAATAAAGAAATAGACATTTACTTGGTACCAAATCAACACTCTTGAAGGATTAAATTAAGTTTGTTTTTATATATTTTGACTTGAGGAATAGTAAAGAAATGTTTTCTTTGCTGTGTCAGAGCCGATAGCGTGCGGCATGATTCCTGTCCTACGGGACGTGACCGGAAACAGCCATCTGCTGAGGATTGTGGGAGGGACGGAGTGTCCGAAGGGTGAATGCCCCTGGCAGGTAGGTGGGAGCTAAAGGTGGAGCGGATCTGTTTCATGGAGGCATCTGACTCTTTCTGCCTGACAGTCTGGATGGTTACTGTAGAGCTGAACCTGATGACCACAGGTTGTCAAACCTGGACCGGTTGACTTGTTGTTCTGTTCTGCTGTTTGAAGGTTTTGCTGAAGTATAAAGGCGAAGGTTTCTGTGGAGGAGTGATTTATGAACCAACATGGATCCTCACAGCCTCTCACTGCCTCACTGACACTGACCCACGGTTCCTGAAGGTGGTTGCAGGTACAAATCTCTCATTTTTAAGCCAGGCGTACACTGTAGGTTTTTTTTTCCTTTTTAGGGTGATTTTTCATTTGTGCGAGAATTTTTTGATCAGGCCGACTTTCAGCATAGTCGTTTGTCCTGCATCGTGTCGTATGCAGGGGGTAACGAGGGGCGATCAGCCTCTAACGACCACCTCCCCATCAGGAATCGTAAGGTTCAGAGAAAGTTACCGTCGTAAGGTGGTCGTGGGCAAATAGCTCAGCGCACAAGCAAGGATTCTTCTTCTTCTTCTCAGATGTAAACCCAGCAGCATGGCAGGGGAGCAATGAGTGAAAACTGACAGACCGTAGTAGCCACGTTAGCTCAGCCATGTCTTTGTCCAAATACGTCGTCTCCTTTTCTTTTTAGGGCTTTCAACACTAAATCGCCCAAATAGCCAAGGCAGCGCTTGAGATTCCTCTTCTACTGGTTTGGCTTCCGGATAGACGAGTCCGAGTAGCGCCATCCCACTGCGGAGCTGAGTCCCACATTTTTAGACGTACAGAGTGAGCAGGTAGATCGCATCAGAGCGTCGAGACGCACAGTGTGAGAACAAACATGGTGAGCTGTGAACTTTTAAACCCTGCGATTGTGTCGTGCAGTGTGTAGCTGTGTGCTAAAATTGAAAAAAATCGTACAGCATATGCCCGACTTAACAGCAGAGCAGCTAACTAATAATTGTGACATCTCATACGCCTGAATAAGGCTTGATTTCAACCAACTCCTTTGAATTTCCTTCTCTTGCTAAAGGCTAATGCCAGGTTGAGGGTCTATGAACTTCGGTTCTAGGGGAAGGGGTCTTGCTGGATTTTCTTTGGTGAAATGTGTTTCTGTTCTGTCTTTCAGGCGAACACGACACCAGGGTTAACGAGTCTACTGAGCAGGTCATCCAAGTCGAGGAGATCATTATGCACCAGAACTATGTGATGAGAACCGTTGACAACGACATCGCCCTCCTTCGCCTAGCGTCTCCGATAGTTTACTCGCCATACGCAGTCCCCATCTGCCTGCCGACGCGAACACTGGCAGAACGTGAGCTCTGGGCGGTGGACCTGCACACAGTGAGCGGTTGGGGGAAGCGGAGCGAGAACGGGCCCATCTCCGTCCTCCTCAGGCGTACCAAGGTGCCGCGCATACGAAAGCAGACCTGTGTGGAGCAAAGCGGCGTGCCGCTCACCGAGAACATGTTCTGTGCCGGATACTTTGACGGTCGGAGTGACTCGTGTAAAGGCGACAGCGGCGGTCCACTGGTGACCAAGTATAAGAAAACATATTTCCTGCTGGGGATCGTGAGCTGGGGGAAGGGCTGCGCCCGACCAGGCAACTACGGCATCTACACTCGAGTGTCCAACTACCTGGAGTGGATCCACAACCAAACAGCAACACCGGCTCAGAGGGAAATCCCCACGGAGACGGTCCCCGGCTCTGCTACAGTTACTCTACAATAACTTTCCCAGAATTAAACACATTATTTACTCATTATAAATGTCTGAGAATCATTCATCCCAACAGATTAAAGTCAAACTGAAACAGTTGATCTTTGATGTCAGAGATGCATTAAACAGGTTCCTCCATGTCGGTCTGCATAAAAGGTTTCAACAATCTGTATTAGTGAGTCAGTAAAGACAATATTTTGTTGTTTGATTTTTACTTCTACCTGCTCCATGCACCTGCTCCATGCAGCTGCTCCATCCAGCTGCTCCATCCAGCTGCTCCATCCAGCTGC